CTGCAGCTCAATACGACTGACTATGTTGATGTCCGCGTATAAATTGTAAAACTCATGGTTTATTCGTCGCCGATATTCACCGTCGACGCAGATCGGCCCGTAGATCTTTCGGAGAATTTGTCTTTCAAATACCTTAAGAGCTGCCTCATCTCCTTGCGTAAGTACCATGCTTCAGATCCATATAATAGCACGGGTAGTATCAGCGTCTTGTAAAGTGTGAGTTTGGTCTGGCGGGAGGTGGACTTGATTCTAAACTGCTTCATTAGGCCATAGTAGCATCTGTTGGCCATCACAATCCTCCTCCGAATTTCAAAACTGATGTCATTCGTTTTATTTATGGCGGTACCAAGGTATATAAAATCTTTAACTACCTCAAAGCTGTAGTTCTCAAGTTCCACAGTTGGTCCGAGTCTACTGGACGTCTTGCTCGCTGATATCATCAGCTTGGTCTTCTCGCCGTTTACTGCCAGACCCACTTTGGCAGACTCGTTTTCAATTTGTTCAAATGTGGCTGTTACCTCTCGCAATGTTCGACCCATTATATCGATGTCATCGGCGTAGGCGAGTAACATGTGTTGATTGGTTTACAGAGTGCCATTTCTGTTCACCTTTGCGTATCAGTCGTTCACACAGCACTCTAGATAGCACTTTATATGCGATGGGAAGGAGACTTATTCCTCTATAGTTGGCACATATCGTCTTGTCTCTTTTTTTGTGTACGGGACAGAGAATGCTGAGGTTCCAATCATTGGGCATGCATTCCTTTAGCCAAATTGTACTAATCAGCTGGTGCATGCTCCTGACCAGCATCTGGCCACCAGTCTTGAATAGTTCGGCTGGTAACCCATCGGCTCCTGCTGCTTTATTGTTCTTGATCCGATTAATTGATTTTATGACCTCATCTTATGCCATGTACAGACGAGCGTTGTTCGCGCTCTCATTCGTTGTTCGACCCTTAATTATGAAGTAATTACTTAGTTCCCTATACAAAATTGTCTGAGCGAACACCTACTTTTGTACGTTGTTCAATTCGAATCACTCTCTGAATCACCAAGAATTTTGTCCCATCTCTAACAATTGAGAGAATTTATCGAAAATAAATTAATTTTTTTACTGCATGAAAATTTTTTTAAAATTTTCAAACTTTTTTAGTAAAATCGAAAATGATGAATGAAAAGTAAACAAAATTCTAGTTTTTATATATGCAGAAGGATGTAAATTTTGTTGTCTACATGATGCAATATACATTTCTTTCCCCTTTGTTCTAATTAGCGTACAAAACGAGAGACAAAAGTGGGGTGGTATACATTCTATTTATTGGTTCTGGGGTATCTTCTTTAACGCCAGTATTTGATACCAGAAGATTTTCATAATGCTCCTTCCAGATCCTCAACACGCTGTTTGTATCTGTCACCAGGTTTCCTTCTTCATCTCTACAGGAGGATGTGCCTGCAGCAAAGCCTTTGGTGTTTTACACGTTGGACTTCATTCTGACTCCTGTACATGTCGATTTGCTCACGCTCACGTTTTTCTTGTTCTGTCTTCTTTTTTCTGAAAACACGTTTCTCCTCTCTCCTTTTCTCTCGATAATTCTCCATCACGTTACGTGTTGCTACTGCCTGCAGGGTTGCCCTATACGCTGCGTTTTTCACATCAGTAGCATTACGACATTCCTGATCGTACTATGGGTTTCTTTGTAGTGGTTTTTTGTACCCAAGTGTTGCTTTTGCTGTAGTTTGTAGGGAGTGGGCAATTTTTTTTTTTGCCATTGTGCTTCTATACTATTATCGGGACAAGAAGTGCTTTCTTCAAGCAGGTGGGTAAGTTAAGCGGAGTAGGCCTCGGCTACCTGTTGTGTTTGCAGCTTTTCGACGTCGAGTTTCCGTGTTGTGTTAGATCGCACCTTTACTGCTACATTAAGACGGGTGCCTACCTCGGCTGCCACCGCTGCTCGGATCGATCGGACGTCTAAAACACTTGATGAATGCCTTCTGTCTATCACAACATGATCAATTTGATTTATCGTTGCTTGATCAGGAGAGATCCAAGTGGCCTTGTGTATATCGAGATGCTTGAATCTGGTGCTGCTAACTACTATGCAAAATGGCGATTAATTCAGGAAAGCCGTAATTTTAAACTATTGTTATTTTTTATTGATAGATGTTCATAAATACATAAAAAAGCATAATTAGAAAAACAAAAAAATTAAAAAAATGGTTTCAATATTTTATGGCCTTTTTTGTATTTTGAAAAAAGTGGTCTTATATCACAATTTTCGCTATAACTAATCAAAGAAAAATGATAAATTAGGAAATGCAATTAAAAATTAGAGCATACTTAATGTGCTTTTAGGAAAAACGAATTGTTCTTAAAAAATAAAAATTAATAAATATTTAATCTGTATTTATATACCCAAAATTTTAAATTAAAATCCGATTTTTTCTCAAATTATATAATTCCACATATTTAAAATAAATTATATTACAAAATATTATTATATCTTATTGATCTATATTCGTAAACAAAAACCTTAGTATTAAAATAAAACAAACAACCATTACAGGACAAAATAACTAAAAATATAATTGTACGGCTTTTATTTACTTCATTTCATTAATTTTAAAAGTATTATTAATTTCATAATCATCATTTACTTCACAACAATTATAAAATTAATTTACTTAATAATAACACTGTGCAGCACTAAAATATTGAACCAATCGAGACCCCCAAAATCTTGAAGCTTGTGATGGTGGAAGAAATTCCCTAGCTGGGTTTTGCATTATTAGCTAAAGTTTTTTTTTAAATTAATTTTTAAAATATTCGACTGTCGGTGGATTTTAGCACAATTTTCGAATAATACGTACTTATTATTGAGTTTATACCTCGTGAACTATTCGAAATATTGCCTTTCTCTCTAAGGCAATATTTTTCCTCTTAATTAGATCTAAAAATTTTCTCTTGAGATAAAATCAATAAAACAACACTATCATACCGAAAATAGCACAACTGCAAAAAAATTAAAATGTCGACATACTTTTTCCATGTTTTTTCACACTTATTTCAGAAACTACTACTGACTCAATAAATAGGTACACAATTGAAATAAAAAATGAGATTTTTTATGTTGATGATAAAAATATAAGGACACTTCAAATGGTATATTGATACTTAGAAAAATCATAAACATTAAAATAAAAATAAGGACACTTCAAATCTTTTTTTACATATACATATTTTGAAATTTATTCGTCGCTTTCGGAGCTAATCTCATCATCTGAAAACTCATTACCGACCATTTCCATATCTTTATTTTCGTAGGAAAATATTTTATGCCTAGACCAGCATCAACAACCAAGGTTTTCATACTGGCAGTGTTGATCCCGCACTGCTCCGAATGTTGCGTACATTTGTCCTCCACCATTACACTTGCTGTAGTTGTTTTTTCTTCTTTGATGTAAGGTTGTTTGTCTTACTTCTTGAGTAATGGAACGTCGCCAGGTGTTTCTGGGTTGACCACTATTCCTCGACCATTGGTGATGCCATTCAAGTGCCATACATGTAATACTCTTCCAGTTTTTCCTTAATGTATGGTCGATCCGCATCCAGTTCCTGCGTTTACCCTGTACGCTGCGGCATGTCTTCGAAAAAAAAACCAAAGGGCCCAAACATTTTAATTTTTACTTCAATTTTGTTCCTATTTACTGAAAAAAGCATTACAATTTTTATTTCTATAAACATACAATTGGGAGTGAATTTCTTTGGTCATTTTGCTGAATTTTTGAGGCTATAACTATGTGATGGAATCAACCAAAGAAATCGGAGTTTTAAGAAGAGTTGTTTGATTTGCTATTGACTATCTTATTGTCATATATTGTTTGGTCGAGTCAGTAGCAGTTTCTGAAATAAGTGTGAAAAAACATGAAAAAAGTATGTCGAAATTTTAATTCTTTTTGCAGTTGTGCTATTTTCAGTATGATGGTGTTGTTTTATTGATTTTATCTCAAGAAAAAATGTTTAGAACTAAGTAAGCGGAAAAATATTGCTTAAGGGAGAAAATCAATATTTCTAATAGTTCACGAGATATGGACTAATAAAAATTGTAATGCTTTTTTCAGTAAATAGGTACAAAATTGAAGTAAAAATTAAAATGTTTGGGCCCTTTGGTTTTTTTTTCGAAGACATGCCGCAGCGTACAGGGTAAACGCAGGAACTGGAGGTGGATCGACCATACATTAAGGAAAAACTGGAACAGTATTACATGTATGGCACTTGAATGGCATCACCAATGGTCGAGGAATAGTGGTCAACCTAGAAATACCTGGCGACGTTCCATTACTCAAGAAGTAAGACAAACAACCTTACATCAAAGAAGAAAAAACAACTACAGCAAGTGTAATGGTGGAGGATCAATGTACGCAACATTCGGAGCAGTGCGGGATCAACACTGCCAGTATGAAAACCTTGGTTGTTGATTTCTAAAACGTCAGAATAAAATAGTTTGCCTATTTTCATCTGGCAATGCCATATCACTCGACGGAGCGGAGAATTTGAAGAAATTTCAACTTTGCCGATGCTTGGGGAAGTATGCTGGTCTAGGCATAAAATATTTTCCTACGAAAATAAAGATATGGAAATGGTCGGTAACGAGTTTTCAGATGATGAGATTAGCTCCAAAGCGACGAATAAATTTCAAAATATGTATATGTAAAAAAAGATTTGAAGTGTCCTTATTTTTATTTTAATGTTTATGATTTTTCTAAGTATCAATATACCATTTGAAGTGTCCTTATATTTTTATCATCAACAATAAAAATCTCATTTTTTATTTCAATTGTGTACCTATTTATTGAGTCAGTAGTAGTTTCTGAAATAAGTGTGAAAAAACATGGAAAAAGTATGTCGACATTTTAATTTTTTTGCAGTTGTGCTATTTTCAGTATGATAGTGTTGTTTTATTGATTTTATCTCAAGAGAAAATTTTTAGATCTAATTAAGAGGAAAAGTATTGCCTTAGAGAGAAAGGCAATATTTCGAATAGTTCACGAGGTATAGACTCAATAATAAGTACGTATTATTCGAAAATTGTGCTAAAATCCACCGACAGTCGAATATTTTAAAAATTAATTTAAAAAAAAAACTTTAGCTAATAATGCAAAACCCAGCTAGGGATTTTCTTCCACCATCACAAGCTTCAAGATTTTGGGGGTCTCGATTGGTTCAAGATTTTAGTGCTGCACAGTGTAAGTACGTATTATTCGAAAATTGTGCTAAAATCCACCCCCAGTCGAATATTTTAAAAATGAATTTAAAAAAACCCTCAGCTAATAATGCAAAACCCAGCTAGGGATTTTCTCCCACCATCACAAGCTTCAAGATTTTGGGGGTCTCGATTGGTTCAAGATTTGAAAGTTGAAAAATGTGTCACTGTGTAATCATTTACTTGTTAGTCATCATACAATTCGTTAAAATAATCTTCATCATCTTCGTCACTATTATCATTTTCCATTTGGGTAAGGATAAGTAAGTTCAAAGCAGTATTTTCTTTTTACAACTCTGTATTTTCTTTTTACAACTCTTCCTCTTGCTCGAAATAAATGGATCTGAATTTAAAAGAAATCTATTAAAGACGTCTTCTATTGTATTTTCCCCCACTGAATTTACTGGAAAAGTGTTCCCGAAGTTTTTTGAAGTCCTTATTTCTGGCTTCCTGAGATTCTTCATTTAGCTGGGTTATTTTACAAATTCTTTAATAATTCAAAAAATGCACCAAAGCGGCAAAAAGTTTTTCTGGAATTTATAAGCATAAACTTCATAGTTTAAGAAAATATAAGCAGTTTTACTAAGTTTCACTGATAATTCAGTTGAAATCCAATACAAACATCAAAAATACCTCAATTTTGGAGCATTTTCCTTATAATTTTTTTTATATTTCCAAAACATTTATCTAAACAAACAAATATTTTTCATATGCTCAAACACCTGAAGTAGACGGCTCCATAATAAAATTTTCACTTTTAGAAGTCTTTATTAAAAAAAATATTACTGGAAATATGCAAATTTTCACTTTTAACCAATGCGCGCAAAAATAATAATAATTACTGAACTTTGAGGACACACCACAAATAAAGTAAACAACAAAGAACTTTTATTTTGGCAATTAGTGATGTAGAATTTTATCTGCTTTCATTCGGTACCAAAAACGGTTTTTAAAGTTAAAGTTCATTTTTTGAATTAATCGCCACTTTGCCTACCGCTCAACCCAGCGTGCGGTGGGACCAAAGATATTTTCCCTTCTGATTTTTGCATTAAAATCTACTAGCAGAATTTTAATGTCATGGCCAGGGCAACGGCCATATGCTGTTTCTAGGCGCTCGTAAAATATGTCTTTGGTCTGTTCATCTTTATCTTCGGTCGGAGCATGGGCGCAAATGAGACTGATGTAGAAGAACTTCGCTTTTATACGGATTATAGCAATGCGCTCATCCACTGGAGTGAATCTGGAGACGAGGTATTTTATTATCCTGTTTACCATAAATCCGCAGCCAAATTCATATCTCGTATCATGGCAGCTATAATACAGGCCGTAATCGTCTGATTTACTTACGCCTGTCCCTTTCCATCGCATTTCCTGTAAGGCAATAATATCGGCTTTGTACTTCTTGAGTACATCCGCCAAAGCGAACACTGCGCCTGTTCTGTACAACGTGCGCACATTCCAAGTGCAGTTTCACAGATCATGGTCCATTATACGTTTGCGTGGTTCGTCAACATTAGGGGGGTTTGGTTTTCTTTTTCTTTTTCATAGTAGGGTTTTCCGAGAGTAGGCAACTAACCCGACGCCTCAACGCATTTTTATTATAGTTGTTATGGGTGAACTAGCGGTATCTATCATCCCCTACGCCACCCTAATCTCATTAAGCTCACAAAAATATATATCTTAATTACTCTTAAATTCATATTAAAAAAAATAACGTATATTTTAAGTCAAGTCTTCCATTTTTAGTTTTTTTTTATTTATGTGATCAGTTTTTACTACAGATTTATGCACTGATAGAAGAACGTGGGCTTTGTATTTCATTCTTCAGCTACATTTTTTACTCGACGTGGTGTAGAAAACCTTCTTTCAGCTGATGCTGTGGTTACCGGCATTGGTATTAAAATTTGTAACAATATATTTATATTTGGAAATATATATTCGTCACATACTACAATCGCTTCAAGTGGATGAAATGCAATTAGGTCGTGAATCTTTCGCTTTCCACATAGTGATCCACAGATCCACTTTCAGATATTTTCATAAAATTGTATTGTTTCTTTAAAATCTTAACATTAAAATTTTATAATTCTCGATAAGGTTTTAAATATTTTTTCATTTTAGAAAGTATACTTCAGCTGCATTTAAACTTAATTTTAAAATGGTCTGCACTCCATTATAATTGCCTGACATGTTAGACGACGCTGTTAACCATTTTAATTCCACGTAACAAAAGAAACATTTTTTTGACTTTTTCAAATACCTGTATTGTATACATATATAATTTCATTCGCTAAAACCGAAAAGAATACAGCTCTTTTCACTTCTTCGACAATAGACTTTTGGAAGTATTCTCCAATTAGTTTTATTAACTCGTTCTCTATTCTGGGACACGGGTATGTTGCATTTCTGGGTGTACTCTCCAAACATTTTCGAAGATTACGTCTAACGACAGTATTCAGGAGGTTTCCCTCAAGACGATGTCTTCCCTTTCACACAGTAAAATCGTCTCAATGGCCACTTTAACATTATGCTTTTGTTCTTTCAATATATCTGAAGCTTCTTTGTCTGTAACAAGTTACGTTTTGAAACATCTTTGATTCTCGATATAGTTCTGGATCCTCATCATCGCATCTTTGTGGCATGTATTCCTTTTTTCATGGTCGGTGAAGCATTCAAGAGCATCTTTGCAATTTGTGTAGAGGGTGCGACAGTGGTAATTTTGGGACTTGGTGTTTGCCTCTCCACGCCCTCGTTTATTTAAAAATAAGATGCCGACTCTGCAAAAATCGCCTTTTGCTAAATCTGAATATACGATAAAAGAAACTCTTACTCTTAAATTCATATTAAAAAAAAATAACGTATATTTTAAGTCAAGTCTTCCATTTTTAGTTTTTTTTTATTTATGTGATCAGTTTTTACTACAGATTTATGCACTGATAGAAGAACGTGGGCTTTGTATTTCATTCTTCAGCTACATTTTTTACTCGACGTGGTGTAGAAAACCTTCTTTCAGCTGATGCTGTGGTTACCGGCATTGGTATTAAAATTTGTAACAATATATTTTTATTTGGAAATATATATTCGTCACATACTACAATCGCTTCAAGTGGATGAAATGCAATTAGGTCGTGAATCTTTCGCTTTCCACATAGTGATCCACAGATCCACTTTCAGATATTTTCATAAAATTGTATTGTTTCTTTAAAATCTTAACATTAAAATTTTATAATTCTCGATAAGGTTTTAAATATTTTTTCATTTTAGAAAGTATACTTCAGCTGCATTTAAACTTAATTTTAAAATGGTCTGCACTCCATTATAATTGCCTGACATGTTAGACGACGCTGTTAACCATTTTAATTCCACGTAACAAAAGAAACATTTTTTTGACTTTTTCAAATACCTGTATTGTATACATATATAATTTCATTCGCTAAAACCGAAAAGAATACAGCTCTTTTCACTTCTTCGACAATAGACTTTTGGAAGTATTCTCCAATTAGTTTTATTAACTCGTTCTCTATTCTGGGACACGGGTATGTTGCATTTCTGGGTGTACTCTCCAAACATTTTCGAAGATTACGTCTAACGACAGTATTCAGGAGGTTTCCCTCAAGACGATGTCTTCCCTTTCACACAGTAAAATCGTCTCAATGGCCACTTTAACATTATGCTTTTGTTCTTTCAATATATCTGAAGCTTCTTTGTCTGTAACAAGTTACGTTTTGAAACATCTTTGATTCTCGATATAGTTCTGGATCCTCATCATCGCATCTTTGTGGCATGTATTCCTTTTTTCATGGTCGGTGAAGCATTCAAGAGCATCTTTGCAATTTGTGTAGAGGGTGCGACAGTGGTAATTTTGGGACTTGGTGTTTGCCTCTCCACGCCCTCGTTTATTTAAAAATAAGATGCCGACTCTGCAAAAATCGCCTTTTGCTAAATCTGAATATACGATAAAAGAAACCAATTTTAACTCTTTTGCACATATAAGTATCAAAATATTAAGCGATTTGTAATATTTTATCCATAAGTTATGCTCTTCTTTACAATTTTAATGTGACTTGGCATATTCTACACCATTTTTTATGATTTTCTTCCATTACATTTTACTCTTAAACATTTTCTGTTGCAAAACTAAATTTATTTAAAGAAAAAAGTCGGGAGCCCGGCACCCCCTCCCCCCGATACTTTTTTCATGTGTGGAATAACAAAACACATGCCCAGCAACTATTTTCACGAACGTTTTGGTTTTGCCTTATTGCTTTCGAAAGAAATCGCGAATGTTTTTTTTTTCATTCGTGAGCGAATGTCAGAAAGAATTTCAACCACCAAACGAAACGAAGGATCGTTGTTGTGTGCTCTCACTTAAAGAATTTGTGGCGATAAATCCATTCGTAAAATGAGCTCAAAACGAAAAGCATGTATTTTGAATCATGAATGAATTTTTCCGCACCTAAAACGCTGTTCACAAATTCAGCCGGGTGTGAAACGCTGCAGATAGTAAGTTTTTGTGTGCTCTTCTCGATAAGTATTTTTTGTTTTTTAATATAGTCCGTGTTCCCACACAAGCGTCCTTGTGATTTGCATAATTATTCCAATAATTTTGCGCACAGAACACTTATTAATATTGTGTTTCGGGCCAACTTCTCGTGTTAGCTACAATCATCCCTCGTCTTAATACATAGTAAATTGTGTTTCGTATAAATGAAATCATTTCCGACAATTCTACCACACTTTTCTCC